GGGATGTACTAAAGATCCCTAAATGATTAACACTTCCTCTGCTGCTGTTTCTGGCACTCAGCCTCATGTTTTCCATGTGTGTTTGAAATGAAATGTATGGATTGGTGAGGGTCAGTTTGGGCGCTCAGGTTGACGGGTCAATGGATATGTGTAATAGTGTTTAACCAAACTATAAGCTACTTTATGTTATTTGTATGAAAAGCTTAGGTTTAACACTTTTGGTTAAACCTAAGCCTGTCATTCTAACAATGCAGTGGTTTTGGATCTTGATGTTTTGGTTATCTGAAGGCCCAAACTACTGGCTGATTAGAGCGTCTATGATTCCTCCATGGTATAAAAAGACATGCACGCAGCAAATCTTTGGACGTGTCTCTTTGTAACATGAATAAACGCCTTCTTCTGTACACGACCTCAGACCCCCTCATATTTTCTTCCGATTAATTAAATCCCATCTCACAGCACTTACATGTGTTTTGTGGCTGTAAATAGAGCAGTTAACGTCATGATTAGTCAATTATTATAACGGTCCTTGAGTATTCAAATGTGACTTGATTAGTTGCAATTAATCAGCTACTTGCCTTTACTTGCGGAACTCGACAGGAAAAAAACACGAGTTGGCCCTGAATGCCCCACGGACATCTCAGACAGACAGAGCAGCGCGTGTCGGTCAAAGCAGTGATCCGGCAAGGTCCCAGTTATCTGTCACTCAACACAAAAGATCAAGAGACACTTTAACAGCGGCATTTATGACAGAACATGAGTCACGGCGGACCCAGACTACAATACAATGCAATACAATACAATTTATCCTTGTATAGCCCTAAATCACAACAGAAGTCATCTCAGAGACTTAACAAAACTATTGAAATCACCAACAGAGTTCAGAAAATCAACAGTTAAAACACATAAAGAATATAGAACACATGTCGATATATGTTCATACATGTTGTAGAATGTTAAAGTGTCCTGGATCATCACCACAGTCTTTCTAGTTGGACACTACTGTCCAACAGACCCTCCTGCATCGGCAAGGAAAAACTCATAAGAAAAACCCAGTGAAAACTATTCTGCAAAGACTGCGTTTGCAAATAAGGAGTATTGGATCAATTGATAAGACAAATGTAGTGTATTCAGATTCAGATTCATTTTTTTTGTCATTTGCTGTAAAACAACATTGGAATGCATTTGCAAAAGTCCCCAGTGTGCACAAAACAAGTACAGGAATACACAAGGTTAAAAGTAAGTAAGTGAACTTTATTTACTGTATATAAGCGCCCTTCACAGACCAGTGTCACAAAGCACTTCACATAGTTTAAAATAGACATACAATTTTTTAAAGGCCAAGACAACCATGTAAAAAACAGCAAGACAAAGTACCGGATTAAAACAAAACATTTCAAATTAACACTGTGAAATGTATTTTTGTGTGGTTTTGGAGACACATAACAGGCAAATGTAATGAATTGTGGAAATGTTAAGAATATTATCACAGTACTTTTTTGTAAATGTTTGAGTTTGTTTATTCCAACAGTGTTTGTCATGTGGCTGCGGTGGTGTTTTGTGGCATTTTGTTTGTGTCGTCTCTGTGGGCCTGGGGTTAACTGTGTTCTGACCATATAACTGTCAACATGGGCACGCCGTTCATGGTAACAGCAATGATTCTTGGTACGCCACCACATTGTAAAATCAAACAGTGCAATTTATGGGTTTTGACAACGGCAAGAAGAAAGTATTGATTTATTTGGTTCAATTATTTATTTTTTGTTTGAAAGTAGTTCAGGTATGCCTGCTTCTATAAACATGTTGCTTTGTCTTCACACTGCAAAAAGTGATGAAAAATGTGTCAAAAATGTCTCAAATATGAAAAAATGTGTCCTTATTTCAGCACCTTGTGACTGACTTTAAAGATTTTCTAATGTGACAAGAAAAATGATCTTGTTTTAAAAAGATGAAAAAAAGGATCTCGCTTGGACTGAGAAAATAAAGTGACACTGTAACGCTTTATATTAAGGTGTGCTTGTTAAGTATTAATAAGGTATTAATAGACATTAGCATCATGCTTATAGATTGCTTATATGTACTTATAAACATATTAATAAGCTGCTCATTTCACTATTCTCTAAATGATGTTGTTCTAGTTATATGCTTTTAAGCATTTAATAAGTAATTAGTAAGATACATTTATATATTTATAAATATATGAATAAGCTGCTTATTAAACTATTATCAATACCATGTTAATAGGCCACTTACAATATGCCTATAAAGATATTAATAAGCTGCTTATTAATAGGTAATAGTGGTAATAGGCCACTAAAATATGCGTTAATAAACTGCTTATTACACTATTTTGCAGCACCCTAATCTAAAGCGAGGAGCATTTTTGTTAATGCAGAATAAAACACAACAATGATCTAAGATGTTTTTATTTATTCAAACAGCAACAATTACAGTCTAAATGAAAAAAAAAATCAAAATGAAGTTTGTGCCAAAAGTTTGTTAGTAACTTCAAGGAGCCATGATGAACCCACTCATGCTCCGACCTGCTCTGTTAATGAATTTGGCTTTGGCAAAACAGTGAATCAACTGACTTCACGAGCCTGAGAGATTAGCGGAACTCGCCTATTTTTGGGCATCGTCTGGTCCTCCCAGTTCTGCGCAGTGGACGAGCTCCCATGATGCTTTGCGCCAAATATGAGTGCGTGGCTGTCATGCACGTGCACATAGGGGCCGCGCTCATCAGAGCTGCTGATCAGAGCGGGAGTTAGAGCGAGAGCCAGACGAGTAGAGTTTGTGGCAGTAAAATGTGGATTTAAAGGACAACTCACCCACAAATCCACTTTTTTCTGCTTATAAACGGTATAAATGAGTGTCCAATAGTGTTGTCTACATATCCTGGTCATAATTTTGTCACTTTGGTGCAAATTAGTTGAAAGTTGAACTTTCTGCCTAAAACCGTCTGTGAGGCGCCATCTGCTGGCGACCTGTATTACTACATTTGAATTTTGAATCTGGCGCCTGAGACCTGACGTCAGCAGCCCCCCGCCCAGAGCAATATAAACGGCCCAGTCTCGTTCACGCCCCCTTTAGTCCTCCAGGCTATGCCCATTTAGAGGAAGATTTGAACAGGAAATGTGAGTGACGTAAGCTCCGAGGAGCGGGGGTGAGAACCACTTTAAAGAAAACTGAAGGATTTAAGAAGAAAAAAAGTTCAGGATGACAAGGGACACTAAAATCCCCAGAAAATCCGAACTTCATGAAAGCTGTGGGTTCTCTGTCAGCTGAGGTCGAGCTGTTTTAATTTACATTGAGTTCTATGGGACTTTTTCTGGGTAGCCCTCGTGAATTTAGTCTGCAGTACCACAGCGCCCCCTGTGCCCATGGGTGGGACTGCTATAAGCTAGGAAAACACTATCCAGTTATTATTATAGTTCCATGGTTGTGCCACAGGTGCGTTGTATACATGGATCTATTATAATAACTGGATAGGGTATTACTAGCTTGTAGCTTGGGGGATTCTCGTGGTACTGCAGACTAAATTCACGTTGGCTACCCAGAAATTGTCCCATAGAACTCAATGTAAACTAAAACAGCTCGACCTCAGCTGACAGAGAACCTACAGCTCTCATAAAGGTCGGATTTTGTTGGGATTTTAGTGTCCCTTGTCATTTTACTGCCACAAACTCTACTCGTCTGGCTCTTACTCCCGCTCCAACTCCCACTCTGATCAGCAGCTCTGATTGGTCAGAGCACGGCCCCTATGTGCACGTGCATGACAGCCACGCACTCATATTTGGCGCAAAGCATCATGGGAGCTCATCAACTGCGCAGAACCGGGAGGACCAGACGATTCCCACAAATAGGCGAGTTCCGCTAATCTCTCAGGCTCGTGAAGTCAGTTGATTCACTGTTTTGCCAAAGCCAAATTCATTAACAGAGCAGGTCGGAGCATGAGTGGGTTCATCATGGCTCCTTGAAGTTACCAACAAACTTTTGGCACAAACTTCATTTTGATATATTTTTTCATTTAGACTGTAATTGTTGCTGTTTGAATAAATAAAAACATCTTAGATCAATGTTGTGTTTTTTTCTGCATTAACAAAAATGCTCCTCGCTTTAGATTAGGGTGCTGCAAAATAGTGTAATAAGCAGTTTATTAACGCATATTTTTAGTGGCCTATTACCACTATTACCTATTAATAAGCAGCTTATTAATATCTTTATAGGCATATTGTAAGTGGCCTATTAACATGGTATCGATAATAGTTTAATAAGCAGCTTATTCATATATTTATAAACATATTCCTCCTTTAATAAGTATCTTACTAATTACTTATTAAATGCTTAAAAGCATATAACTAGAACAACATCATTTAGAGAATAGTGAAATGAGCAGCTTATTAATATGTTTATAAGTACATATAAGCAATCTATAAGCATGATGCTAATGTCTATTAATACCTTATTAATACTTAACAAGCACACCTTAATATAAAGCGTTACCAGTGACACTTCTTTAAATAAAACTCAATGGCTTTGTCCCATTGGCAAATCCTGTTTTAAGACAGTCAGAATGTTCTCAAATAAGATTAAAAGCACCACCAATTAAGATTACATACCACTGTTTTTAATTCCATCTTTCTATTATTATGAGTATTTGATTGATAAAAAACAAAAACAAAACCATGGGATTTAAGTAACAATATTCTGTTTTTTCTATCTGTTTGTGTGCAGGTGCTGTGGAAGCCGGTTTCTCTTGTCATTCGAGCCTGTTGCTGATTGGACAATATATCTCTAGAAAAGGCAGTCGCCATGGCCCAGCGCTGCCCACAGACTCCGGCCCCTCACCCCTCCAGTAGTGGGCCCTGGCTCTGAGACTGTCACTACTAAACCATGTAGTGAGCCTTTCTCCATTGTGGGGGGAGGGTCTGTGGTATTTTAGTTGTTTGCGTTTCTAGAGCAGGTTTTATATTGTTGAAAGTGTCTTTGGTGAGTTGGAGATGGTTCTGTACAGCACTCCATACCCCAGTACGTGCCTGCACTTCCTGGACGGCCTGTCGTGGAGCCTGGTCTTCCCCTGTTACTGGCTGCTGGACCGACTGTTAGCGTCATGTGTGGCTACGTCTCTGGAGAAGCGTCAGCGCTCCAGAGACCCCTGCTCCTTCCTCAGCCTGTGTATGCTGGTGTGGGCTCCAGTCTACCTGTTGCTGCTGCTGCTCTCTCTGCCCCTGGCTCTGCTGGGCTTCATCCTGTGGGCCCCTCTGCAAGCCGTGCGCCAGCCTTATCTGTACACATACATCAAGTAAGTGGAAATACTCTCCTGTTCTCTTGTGGTCTCTCTCATAAGAAGGCAAAAATAAGATGTCAAATATACAGTACATACATAATGGTCAACATTGAGAAAGAGCTTCTCATCTTTCATTTATACTTATTTTCAGATTGATACATAAAATCACTTAAACAGTTTTACTACACTTGTTTTTATATTAGATATCTGATTTATAATTTTTCTCTCCAGATTAGACAGGAGCCTGGCAGAGCAGGGCCAGGCAGGACCAGGGGGTTTGTCAGAGTGGAAGCCCCAAGGCCGGAGTTTTTGCTTCTGCAGTGCAAATGTGTGCCTGCTGCCTGACTCTCTGGCCCGGTTCAATAACCTGTCAGACACCCACAGGAGAGCACGAGAGGTGGGCAAGAGGATCCGCAATGGGGCCAATAGACCCCAAATCAAAATCTATGTTGACTCCCCCACTAACACCTCTATCAGGTATCTGGATCTGCTTTGATTATATGTATATATATTCACTGTAAAATGTGTTTTATTGTACCAACATAAAAATGAATGAATCTAACTCGATATTACCTTCTGCAGTGCTGCCTCCTTCAGTAGTCTTGCCACTGGTTTCCGTCGCACCTCGTCTCTGGACCACCGCCCAGAGCAGAGCCACAGCACCAGTGGGCCGGTGGAGCCCGTGGAGAGTGAGACTGAGCCCCTCACAGAGTGCCCTGTTCACTCCTCTGGTGCCCCCGACTGCCCCGCTCACCCCACAGTAGAACAAGGTTCTTCTTCCTGTCCCCTGCATCATGATGGAGGGGAGTCTGCCCCAGAGTGCCCCCTGCACTCCCCCTCAGACTGTCCTGTCCATAATGGGGGCTCTGCTACAGACTGTCCTCTGCATCAGTCTGCTGGAGGGCAGAACAAGAGCCCGGACCACAACTGCCCCGCTCACACCTCTAAAGAGGCTGATCAGAACTGCCCCATGCACTCTGCTGCTGGGCCTGATAACAACTGTCCCATGCATTCCTGCGCAGAGGCAGATCACAACTGCCCCATGCACTCCTCCACGGGTGGAGATCACACATGCCCCCTTCACTCTGCTGCTGAGGCAGAACACAACTGCCCCATGCACGGAGAGGGCACTCAGGCCAAGTGCCTCATGCACAGCTCATGTGTGCAGATCAGCATCAGTGCCCCGGAGCCGGAGGAGGAGGATCCTGTGGACACAGCCTCTATGACAGCGTCCCGGGAGTCCCTCACACGCTACCATGGCGATGGTGGGGGAATGTACTCAAACAACACTCTCTCTCATGTTCCGCAAACGTCCATTTTCAAACGAGCAGCTCGAAAACGCCGCCACGGAGATGAGTCATTTGACCATGACATCACAGCTTTCTTCCCTGCTAATCTGGACTTCCTGGCCCTGCAGGAAGTCTTTGATCATGGCTCCACCACAAGGCTCCGTCGCCAACTACACAGATACTTCCCCTTCATCCTGAGCGATGTGGGGCAGTACGGCTGGAAGAGCTGCTGCTCCAGGTTCAAGTTCCTCAACAGTGGACTCATGCTGGCCAGCAAATACCCCATACTGGATGCTCGCTACGAGTGCTATCCCAACGGCAGGGGCGAGGATGCACTGGCTGCCAAGGGCGCTCTGTTTGCAAAGGTCAGAATAACACTAATCCTTGTTTATTTTATACACAGCTAGGACTAACATTGCAAGATACATTTGCTGTCACAGAGCATCAGCAGAAGAAACTAAGATCCATGCTCTTGATGCTTTGTTGTGTGTTTAAGGTCTCAGTAATCCCTGAGCACAGTTCATCACATAAGTTATAACCAAGGTTTGAGCTCTAGTTCACAGGCAGCAGAAAAGAGACAGGAAACTTGCTTGTGTCCACAGAGTATGTGCTTCTGCGCGTTCATGACAAGCTCATGATGTGTGTGTGTTTGTTACGCCTGCAGCAAAACCCGTGACAATAACAAGTGACAAACAGAGAGAAGAAATAAGCAACAGAAGTCTTCCTAATGACCCCTCTGACACGTCTACATTGTGTGAGATGTGCATCTGCAGCAAGAAATCTGATTTTGATTGATGCCACAGCGGTGACAATGCATTTAAATGAGCTAAACACACAGCAAGGAAAGAAAAGTGACTGAGTTTATTGGCAAAGTTTTTCTTAGGAATGGATTTTACATTTGCTTGGATTTTTTGTGGTTGTATTCAAGACTGTAGTGTAAATTAGTAAGGTGTGGGATATGTCCAAAAGGATTAATTCATTCAAGCAAAATTCACTTTTTGAATCTTGTCTAGAAAAAGTGCTGGTTGGAATGATTAGTCATTTGTCAGAGTGGAACTGTGATGACGGTATTGCTTACATACTGTATAATATCTTTGGAAGAGAGAATGTAGGACGGCTCGAAGGAGGGAGTCATCAGTGCTGTGGTCCCTGACAGTATGTTTCTGTGTATAACGGCTCCAGAAATTATTGCTTGGATAAAAGGCCGACGCTCTGACCGATGTTTAGTTGACATTTATTCACAACAAAGCCACCTAAAGCACCGTGTGTGTTTTTTACACCAGTCAGTTGGGTAAACTCCACCATCACGTTACACCACTGTGTCATCATCATGAATATTGAATTACAGTAGAAGTGCCTGATTGTCATTCAAAATCTCCTGTCGATGATCAGACGCATCCATGAACCAAGCACGGACACCATGAAGCTGGTGTAAGGCTTTGTAAGTGCATTTGTCTCGGATCTATACAGAGGAGGCTACAATTTAGAGCCTTAATTTAGAACAATAAACAGATACATAGATTACTACAGTTATTACATTACTATAATAACAAGGCCATGCTCAATATCAGCACAGTATTCGTCCCACAGTGGGGAATGTCGGTGTTGCAGAATAGTAGGAGTGACAAGATAAATTAACAATAACCCGATACCAAATAAAATAAAATATCTTACTCTAGCATGAAGAGAAAGTTTAACATCTACTCTATCTTTAGCATAATGAGTACCAACAACTCTGACTTTAGCATAATTGGCATAATAAGAAGCAAGTATAAAGTACTGTGTATTCTAGTGCAAGTACTGTAATATGTTAGCATAAGCAATGTCATTTCTTGAGATTTTATAGAGGCAATCAATTGTTATAGCAAAGGTTGCATTTGTTCTAAATATAAGAGTATTCTGTACGATCATGTGTATGACAATATCACGTCAAAGTGTGTTTTTGGGCAAAATGTAGTTAAAATGAGGCTCGTTATCAGGAGCAAACCTTTACTTCCACTCCCTCTCCTCTCCGTTTCATACTGTTAGAAGGGGGGAGGTAGGGTCTCTGTAATTTGGGGGGGCAACCAAATTACAGAGACAGAGCCCCCACGCTGTGTCACCACCCAGCCTTCCTATCTCCAGCTGGAGCTCACATCGTGTCAGCATCGTCGTCTTGTTCAATAAAGGGTTAAATGCACATATTTTTTGTAGTGTAGTTGTAGCGAATGAAATCTTTCTTTGGCGGAGGACTGCTGTGGGACACTGAGACCCCAGACCCCAAACCCCAGACCAATACACCTCAAAATGACTATAGTGAGCATTTGACTTTGATAGCTATAGTATTGCAATACCAGCATCCATATCTCTTGTGAAAAGCCAAATACATTCATAAGCTTTTATTGTGGTTTTATATTTGATCATTTACTCTTCAAAAAGATAGGATTTAATCAGATTCCAAATTGTGTAACACATCATTACTTGAGTAAGAAATGATTGGCTTTCATTCATAAAATCCTTGTCTTTGCCTTTCTCTTTTGAATGAGCTTGTCACCCGAGCTGTTACTACATTTCACACACTGAATACTCATTGACTCAAACTCGAAGTGAAACATGCAGAAAAAAAAGAGTTAAAAAGAGGCAGCTGTGTGTGTTAATTATTACCACTTAAACTTCTGCTTCCTGCTTCCTTCACGCTCTGTAGATTGTCCTGTTTCCCGGAAGTCTGTTTGAGCTGCAGCATGACCAGTCTTCATTCCACCATCATTTGTAGAAATTTTTTAACAAACCCATTTAGTGTATTTTGTGTGCACACAGAGCATGGGTGGACACAGAATTCAACATATGACGAGAAAATTTCTCGCTGTGAGATCTTCTCATTGCCTTTTGGGATTCTTTTATCTTTTTATAGAAATCCGTCTTTTAATCCGTAGAGCTCTTTTAGCCAAACATGCTTCCTTAAACCAATTGTAAGCCTTAGTTAATACCACCGTTAGAATATCAGGAACATTTGTTTCTTCTGCCCAGGAGTTAGAGTGATCACCAGTGTTTGTCTGTTGGCAACATCACTTAAAAGGTTATGGGAGGATTTAGACTAAATTCAGAAAACATGTGCACTGACCCAGTGAACATATGATTACATTTTGGAGGTGATCCAAATCACCATCTGGATGCAGGACTTTTTTTTAAGGAGTAGAAGTACGCCTCGAGGCGTAGGTCTGTGCTCTACGAGTGCTTTTCAAGTTTCAAAAAAGGTCTTATCCTTATCTTTATCATTGACCAGGTATCCTGCAGAATGAGGTCCTGAAAATGAAAATTTCCACTTTGTATTGATGTTTATTTCTTAGTTTGTTTTTCATATATATTTATATATACTGTAGTACTCTTTATTTGTCCCCCACATGTTTCAGTGTAGCGAACTTGCATCCTAGCCTGGAAAAAAGTGAGCATATTATTGAAGCTATCTCAAGGACAGGTGCAACGTTACAACTATTCATAATAAATTCAGAAAAAAACATTTTATATAATCTATAATATAAGAATATTTCAGAACGAATGCTTTATTAATCTATGGTTCAACATCAGACGAGCTAAGACTTCTATGATTTGCTGCAATACAATCCCTGGCCCTATAGCTCCTTGTCTGCTCCAGACTGCTACTACTACTATAAAAAGATTAAAAGATTACTGCTCCTGCAGCTGGTAAATCTCATTAAATATAGTTCATTTGATCTCCCTCATGTGGAGGCTCGGTCAGAGGTGTCAACAGTGCCCTCTTTGCTAAAGTCTGTGGCTTAAGTGTTTAAAAGTAATATTCTATAAATGATGTTTTTTGTTTCAACATTGGCTACGCAAACATCAAAGAGGAAACAAACATGTGGTCCTTCGTCACCCGGGATGACGGGAGAGAACCTTTACATTTTATAATATGAATATGAATAGTAATGATACTAACAGAATCTCCTTGATGTATAGTCTAATTAAAAGAATAACTGTTCTGACAGCAGGATTGAGCTGTCAGATGGCGAGTGTATGACGTAGAGTTGGAGAAAGGCGGAGAAATAGAGTATTAATTAAAAATGTTTCCCAGGATAGTGTGCCAAGCAGTGGATGTAATTAAAGCTTTGACTCCTAACTTTTATCCACTCTTATAATTGTTTCAGACTGTTAAGTGCATGGTTGAAGAGACAAGATTGTGTGTGTGCGTAAGTAATGCATTCCAGCGCATTACACGGATTAAGCTTCAGACAAATAGAATTAATGGTGGCTTCCTAAAACTGCCCTTGGCCTTTAGCGGCCAATCAAATTCTTATCCCTCTGAGACTAAATTCACTTACTTATGTACATCATCATTCCTCCACTGGCAATTATAGACGTATGCATATTCTCAGCATAAAAAATATATAAATAATCCCTCCATCCATACATCCATTTTCTTCCGCTTCATTCATTGCCTGTCTAAGCAGAGACGCCCAGACTTTCCTATCCACACACACTAAAAAATCAATTGTTTTTATTTTTATTTTTACCCAATGAAGACATGTTATTCTATATGTGTCAAAAGATACTAGTCTGCAGTCTCAATTTGATTACATTTCTCCCTTCCTACTTTTTGTCCTCCAAAAGTCTGGTGCTCTTGCTTTTATTTCCCATTGCACCATTTGTTCAAAACACTTTGTCCTTTCCTACTCTGCAAACAATCTCAAGTTGAAGCCCTAAATTTAACTTGTAGCCTACTTTTGGGGAGACATATATTCTACCGATGCTTATTTAGGAGCGTCGTTTCTTGTGTTTGTCGTCTGTACACAAAGCTCTTCCAAGTTGAGTTGCCGGAGCATCATGGTCTTTCATATGCTGCTGTGTCCCCCCGCTCTTGATGAATATTTCAGCTCCTTATTTCTGCATCAATAGGTGCGCTTGCTCTTTGAAGCTGACAGAAGCCTCGGGGAATGTTTCCCACTGTTCACAACTCCTTTCTCTATAACATTGTGTTTCTGGTAATCTTAGTGTTGTAGTAGATTCTATTTCTATGACAAACTCTGGCGATACTTTTGTTTGATTTTACTTAAGTCAACTGCTGAGATGGTGAACAGTGTGTCAAAATAGTATGTTTTGTTTTATTAAAATCTTTACGGCGGTAAAGATGGCGCCGTGGCAAGAGGTCTGGTGTGTGCCGTCTGATGCACACTGGGGTAGTCTTGCACAGCTTTTCCAATGTGGTTTTACTGCAAATGGCAAATAAATTCTAGTATCTTGTAACAAAAATCCAGCTCGAAAAGGAGGGGGAAGAAGTTATGCCTCTACATCATTTGTTTTTATTGGAGGCAGTAAGAAAGCTCTAATAATAATAACGTTTGACTATTGTTTTGACAGTAGTAATTATGACTATTATATTGTGTTTGAAAGGGCCTTGTATGAGAAAGAACAAACCAAAGAACAAATAACATGCTTGTATATTTTGCAATCTTATAAGAAAGAGTCCTGTGAGTCACTATTGGATGCTTTGTGCTGAGAGCTGATTGGCTGAGTGTGGGTGATCCTCTCTTTTTCACATTTCTGTCTGAAAAAGCTGATCTAAAGCTGTGACAGAGGCCATAAAACGCATGCATATAAAAACTGGGGATAGCACAACAGTTTTTAGTGAGGAATGGATTATTTTGTATGGTTCACATCAGACTTTTTATCACTAGTGAATATTTAGTCTTGGAACCATCCATTCCTTTTCTGATCGGAGAGCCATAGTGTACGATAGCTCCAGCTTTAAATGTGCTTCTAAATAGTTCAATAAACAATGCAAACACAGCAAATATATCTTAAGCATTATCACTGGGCCCTAGAATGAGTCTACTTTAAATCCTTAATATATCACCGTCATTAAAATCCTTCTCGTTAATTGAGGATTATGTTTAATGACGTCTTTGAGAAAACGTTGGTTGAAGATTCTCACAGGTACAAAGCCAGAGTGTGCATCCATTATCAGACCATCAGCCTCCTAACGGTCTAAAGCACCGTCGGGCCCAGTCTAATTTAGCTTTAATAAATGCCTCAGCGCTGCCCCCGCACACTTAAACCACAAGTCACTTAAGCAGATCTGACCACTTCTCTGCTCCTTCTCCATCTGGCTTATAAATCGGGAATAACAATGGAGAATCTATCTTTTACCTATTTTATTCCTCTTCAGAGATATTTGTCCTTATCCATACTGTTAACAGATAAGAAGGAAAATCCCAAAACAAAGATTGTATCGAGGGTAGGAACTGAGGTGTTGAGAAGGGACAGTGTGCTGCGATTCTTCACACTTTTTTCACCATTTCATCTGTATTTTATTTGTATTCTTTGTGTGTTGGAAGAGGTCCCAGGGCTCACACAGCTTTTATGTGCTTTATTACTTTGTGCATGGCTCCTATAGTTTCAACTCACACACTACACTTGATGATTGTGTGGCTAGACTTTGACATAGTAAAGCTTGTTTTGGTGCTTGCTTTGCTTGTAGTGACACAGGAGGATTGCTATGGTATTATAAGGAAACTCTCATTTAAATGATGAGGCAAAAGATGAAAAAGATTTACAATTTACATTTTTAGAACTTAACCCTTGATCGCCAAAGTATAGAGTAACAGCTTCCCCAACATATTTTCCTTGTATTTTTTTATTCTGTTGATAATTTTTTGTAGGGCTCTATCTCTTATAAAGTTTAAGGGTCCTATTAATTGCCTGTTTCACATCAGATTTATGAAAAAAAATCAAAGGGGGTTAAGCGTTAAATGCACATATGGCAAAGCCTTGCTCCATAAACACAGTGTTAGTGTTTGGTTATTTGCTGACCATCGTAGTCAAATGCTTAAATGGCATTACTTATTCTTGTCACTCACTAAAACGCAGCTCACATTTCGCTGCATTGCTGTTTTGCGGATTTCTTTGTGTGCGATTTTGTGTGCCTTTTTCACGGCGGGCTTCTCATGTGCTGCGTGTATACTGCAACAAGATTAGTATACAAGATAATATTACCGCTAGTATAACATGACAGGTTCCTTTATTTGAAGTCAGAATTCAACTTTTGTGGATTGTGTGCTCTGCGGTGATTAGTTCAGAAGACCGCTGTGATCTTCCCATATCCCTCAGTCCTGGTCCTGCCCCTCAGCATGGCGTCCTCTGCAGCTGTTTTTACGGTGTACAGTACGCACGGCTTTTGACAGCTGCAGCAGCGCTCAGACCTGCAATAAACAGGGTTGATATCTCTGCGATCGCACTGTGATTTCAGTGAGTTCAGGTTGTTAAAAAGTGCAAAAAGTGTGTGGTGAGAGATCCAACCTTAAAATATACAGCTAATACTTCTAGGATTTTCCTCTTTGCGGGTTGTTTTTAGAACGTAACCGCCACAATAAACAAAGAACCATTGCAAATGCTTTGCCTATGAGTTGTCTAATAGGCAGGGCAAGGCAAGTTTATTTGTATAGCACAATTCATACATAAGGCAACTCAAAGTGCTAAACAGAATAAGATAGAAACAATCACACAAGTCATTAAAATCATAAATAATCACATTACATAAAGAAGAAGTTAAAAGCCCACAGTTGTATGCACAGCTAACCCGAACTGTTTTTAACCTGGATTTCACTGTCAGAGAAAAAAGCCTGTCTCACATCTCCAGGAAGACTGTCCCAGATTTTAGCTGCATGAATCTGAAATGTGACCTCCCGCATGTTTAATACTGTGTCCTAATGGGAAAATGTTTACTCCGTAGCCAACACAAAATCAATTATCTGCTCAAGGAAATAAAATTAGAGTATTGTAGGAATTCTCATTCAAATATCTCTGCTTAACCATCAATTTAGTGTCTTAAGAACGTAAACACTGCTCGCCGCTGTTATAATGCACTTATGGCTTCCATTCAAGAGCACAGGCTCAGTCAGGCCTCCTCCACACACCTCCTCTCTCTGCTCTCTGACTCTGCTGTCTGATTAGATCTGGCCTCACATTCTCTGCCCATTTACACACACGAAACACGCTAAGACCCATGTAGATTACAGGTCAGCGGCCACGTTTATCCTTCTGTTCTTTGTAAATGTTTCTTCGAGCTCTTGCAGTCATTTATTTACATGGGAGGCAAGAGAAAAGATATGTTCTTTTTGTGGCACAGTTTTGCACAATGGGCTTATTGTAGCTGGAGTTCTGCCAACACCGAAAACAATGAAAAGGTGCACAGGGCATTGTCATAGTTTCAAAGACTGCAGCTTTATTGGAACACAAACAATAGGTAATCGCTACTTCAAAGGCTTACGTTTACAATATGCGTGCGTTGGGCTGTAACAAGCTCATCGATTACAGATGTCCCTCGTTTGTCGCCGGGGTTACATTCTAAATATAACCTACAGTAAGCGAAATCTGCAAAGAAGCAACTACTGTATATGTTTTACACTTTTCTAACCGTCTGAACTCACGACTGCTGAAGTGCGATCGCGGCAATATCAAACCTGTTTTGCTGTCGGTCTGAGCGCAACTGCAGCTGTCAAAAGCCGTGCATACCCTGAAAAATACAGCTTTAGCGGATGTTGTGCTGAGGGGCAGGAGCAGGATTGGTACATGTTAAACTATACTGTATGTACCATCTGGGTCTGCTCCCAGTGTCTGCAATTACATCCGTTGAATTCCATCCGACCAATCAGCGAGCGTGGGAGGCGGGTGTGTTGTAGGTAGATTTTGACGACATCAACCTGTTAACAGAGCTCAATGGAGCACATCCAGACCTTAGTAGGAAATTAAATATGTACAATGTTGTGGTATGACAAGGCCACACTACTCGGATACAGTTCTCCCGAGTAGTTCCCTATAATCACTGCGGTCCATCCAACCCACAAAAGTTTCCTTCTGACTCGAAATAAAGATAAGTGTCATGTTTTACTCATGATTATATGATGTTGGAGCATACATGAGAAGCAGGCAAATTGCGCTCAAAAATTCACAAAACAGCGAGGTCACAAAAGGTAAACTGTGCTTTGGGGATCACTGTAATTGTTACTAATCAATTATTGGGGAAAAATGTATCTCTTGGCTAAGTTGTTAGTATTCATGCGGCGAGCTGCTTCTGAGTCTGTTTTCTACCTGCTTTCCCCAGAGTGTCCTATTGTGGAGTGCACTTTACAAAATGTCAAATGTCTCTCACAATTTATCTGAAAATCAACTCTTAAAAACAAATTTCTTCAAATGTCAACTGACAAAGACTTTAACCTGATTCCCCTGATAATAAAACAACATTATTCATACTCTGTGACTGTGTTAAATGTTTGCTTTCAGTGCTGGTTTGTGTAGTATTCTTAGAAAACTTCACTGAGACTGTAGTGTTTTTTACTAGACTCAGAAGGCATGTATTATTCATGTGAAATGCAGCAGGAAAGTACTAGCGTGCATGTCTAAACGTGGGTCCAGAAGTCAAACATGTCAAATCTGTTTATGATTACAGTGCGCATGGCGTGGCATCCATATTATTTTGTGGTTAAAATTTAAATTACACATTTTTCTTTGTACTTTCTGTCTATTCAGTTGCTGTTCCCAGTTTATGAATGTAATCTGGTGTTTATATTTCTATAATGTCTTTGTAAATCCAGACATGAGCCATATAAGGGTTGATATTTATAATATTCATAATTTATGGACTTTGGTCATATGCCCTTATGGACCAATGGCTCTATGTGTTTTTATTGTTGCATTTCCTATGTTGAACTGTTGATTCTCTGATCTGTGTTGGCAAATTCAATGGTTTCCTCTCTGTTTAGTCTTCCGAGATAACTATTGTTGTCATTTAGGGCTATACAAGAATACATTGAAATGAGTCGAGCAATCAAATGCCATCCTCAGTAGTTTGCCTTAGCTACTAAAGTCTATCTTATCTTATCTACCACCATAGCTACATGTCTGCTCCCGTTATGGCGCAATGCTAATGCCATCTGAACAAATGCCTATATAAGGAAATTGGCTCCAGCTAGCTTAGTCGGTCCACTCCTCAGACACGCTCTATGGATCGTCCTAATTCACAGAGTTCTCATGCTGCAGCTGCCAGACTGTGATTCCCAAAGGGTTCCACCTCAGTCTCTGTTTTGTTTCACACCACATGACACCGTTCTAATGTGTGTTTGGATGTTACAGGTCCATGTGGGCACTTCTCATCAGGAGCAGAGGATTGTGGGATATCTCACATGTACACATCTCCACGCCATAGAAGGTACAGTGCTGTTACAATATATTTCACAGTATCCGTAAACAAATGTAAATAGTCATCTTTCATTCATTGTGTTTTACGAGTTATTTTCCCTTACAAACTTTGGGAAGGATTAAGAAGGATTATAAATTGGGCACAGACAGTAGGCTCTGCAAAAGTATCAGAAATCAGATCAATCCTAAAACTAGCATCAAAACTAAATTCTCATTACAAAAATTATTAGTGGTGTTTGAATTATTTTTTATTTCTTTTTTATCTCAGGACTAGTATAAAACCTTGTGGTACCAGCTCTTTATCATTTTCTTTCCTTCTTTTTTTTAAGTCCCGTTCTTCGTATTAGAATCAAGTTTGTACTTTTACTATCGTGACAACACTAATAGACAAAAGCAAACAAGCAAAACCATTTCCCCACATTTGGTGAAGCAAAAAATTACCGTTGCGCTTAAAAGTCTACCCCCCCCCAGGTAGAAATAACAAATAAAAGATTGGAGCATATGTCATAGATTATGAACGATGACACAAACACTTTTTGCAATCATTGTTAGTAATTTTGTGAAGCCATTTATTCCAAACAAATTTGTTTTGTATTTTCAAATTATAATGACAACAGAAACTACTCAAGTGACCCTGATTAAAGTTCTCATCTCCCAGTTTTCAATAGCATGATGTATTTCCCCTTTAATATCTACGACAGCTTGGAGTCTTTTGTGGTAGTTGTTGATGAGGTTCTTTATCCTCTTCTTCTTGGTAAAAAGTCTCAAGTTCCTGTAAATTCCTGGGCCGCATTGCATGAACTGTACATTTATTAAGATCTCAACATTTCAGCAAATAAATACAATGTTCTTTAATAGCCCTAAATCACAGGACTTTTCACAACCGTTGAATTCTCCAACACAGATCAGAGAATCAAGCAGTTCAAACACATACGTACATAGAAATAAAACAGAAAACACATGTGTTTGATAATATAAAAATGCTAACCCTCAAGCCCATTGAAGGTAGGACAAAATTTAGCTCGAACTCGCTTTGGCTCCTATTGAAAGCTCTCTATGATCCTGGTGTTTTTATTTTGATGTCAGACTCGGAAAACACAATTGTGACGTCAGCATTGGTTAGTCCACTCCTAGAATAGAATGGTCATCTCAGTCCCCAGACCTGAATAGTATTGAAAAATTGTTCTATGATGATGAAACAGCTGTCCATGCTCAAAACCCATCAAACCTGATGGAAATAGAGATGATCTGCAAAGATAAATGGTCCAAAATACCTTCCACCAGTATTCAGACTCTAATTGGAAGTTATAGGAAAGAGATGGGATAGAGGATGTAGAATATATTGAGTAAGTTTTTATTTTTTGATACCTAAATGTATTCATCCATGCCTAATTTAATTTTTGGTTTAAATAATTATTACACACTTTCTGTTCATGTTTAAATCTTTATTTCACTTCTCAAATATCACAAAGAAATGTTTTATGTTATCCTTAATCCTCTTCAAAATGTGACCAAAACAATTACATCTATGACATCTGTAGTGATTCAAAAACATCTTGTCTTTTTTCTCATGTAGTGTATGTCAAAGGCTGTATAAGATTACACATTCAATTGTCAGGATTTTTCTAACTTTTTTACTTTCGAGCCGTGGTGCATGCTTTTATGTACATTCAAACTCTCTATAGTATCATCTCCTCTCGGCCCCATCATGGTTGTGCTTCTTCTTATCCACATTTCCTGTCCTGTTCCCATGGCGACGGCCTGACGCTGCTTGAGGCGTCACGGCCCTATTTAAAGCCTCTGGTCGAAGCCTCGCTCATTTTTTAACCGTGACACATCTTGCCTTTTCGTTTGGCTATTTCCAGGCTCCACCTACGCTTCTGCCATGGCTAAAAATAGCAAGGCCAGGGCAATTTCTAAAGATACACCGAAAAGCCTTAGGGAACAGGCGAGGGGAGGTGGGGTGGTAGTATGTGGGGCAAAACTGTGAGAAAAACTGTCTTTTCTACACAAACCATAAGTGAATCGTGCTGCTCCTTTATACGTTGTGATGGATGTACACCTCAAGAAAAAATAGTTATCATGTTTTTTTCTACTCTGCGCTCTTTGACCCAGAAAAACTTTTGATTTATTTGTTGCCCAAAACGCTGATGTGAAACAGGAAAGGTTCGAACAACAACTCAAGGTTCAAGGTGATTTTATTTGTTCCCATGGGTAGATTCTTTTGCAGTTGAATGGATAGAGACTTGACATCTACACAAAATTATTCCTAAAAATCACACTTAGGTAAGTAATGAAAAGAAGGTATAAAGAAAATAAACATGGTTAAAAGGTTCTTAGTCAGGATTCCAGTAAGTAAGTGAGTAAAAACCCGAGATAAGACATTTTACATCCAACATACTGTGCAAACTACAGCCTGTTCATTAAGGTGCAAAATATTGACTGCAACTGGACAAAATAATGTATGCTGCGTAAGCGGTGAAGAGGCTTGTTGGAAATATATAAACTTTTCTCTGAATTGTACCTAATAATAAACATACAGACGCACACATACTCCAACGCATCATAGTTTGAAGCTAGAATGAAATCACAAAACATCACTATGTTTTTACCACACAAAGGCAACCCAAAAGTGACTCAAGACTGGATGTGGGGGGGGGCATTTATTTTAGAGTAGGAGGTAAGGCTGGATGGTCCAAAGGTGAGCTTAATGTTGCAGACTAGATCAGACAAGGACAGACACACGAACTGGCATATAACAAAAAACAATGTAAGTGCAAAAGTCAAAACGGAGAATTCACCAATTAGCAAATTAAAACAATCTGGCAACGACAGGCTGTGGAGCCGGGTTCTTGCAGTCTCCATGATGGTCATCTCCCCTGTGAGGTCAGGGGTGGGTTCAGAGGGAATGGAGGGGGAGGAGAGCAAGGGAGCAGACCTCAAGTCTGCATCTGAACCCTGCCAAGTCTCTTATCATCGTTTTATTGTTTTATCGGTGCGTGTGTGTGTGCGCGTGTGTGTGTGTGTGTGTGGGGGGGGGGGGGGGGGGGGGGGGGTTGTTTTGCTTGTGGTCTGGGGAGGGTCTGTTGGGCGGTCGGGGGGAGGGCATGGGCAGGATTGTTTTTTAGCCAAACTGTAAAGCACTTTGTGTTGCATCTGTTGTATGAAAAAGCGCTTTATAAATAAACTTTGATTGATTGATTGCTTGAAGTCATGTGACATATGTGATCAAAATCATGTGACTTGTTCCAATAACTGTTTTGTTCACTAGTTTTCACATTCATGGACTTGAGTCACATCTTTTGATTAGCTTTCAGAAGGAAAAGAGAGAACCACCTTCAGTCAGCGAATCAGCTCTCTGTATGTAAACACACACCCTCAGCCAGGTGCTTTTTGTTTCTTGTATGATAGAACATGAACATTACACACTCAACTCGAGGATAGTTAATTCTAGCCTTTTGTTTGCTTCCCTCCCATTCCTTTTCACACACAGAAACATTCCAAAAGCTACTGTTGAGAAAGACACCCACGAGCAGCACTGAGGTCCGTCTGAGTGGTCCAAGAACTGCCAGCTCTCCAATCAAAGCCACCACTGCCCACACACATATGAGACACACACACAGTCACACAGTCACACACATAAACACACATACAAACACACATACACATATACAGTACATACCTTCACACACATAGATACGGACACACATACGTACGTACGTACGGACACACACACACACAGGCACATGCACACACACACACACACACACACAAAGCTCGACCATCTTCTCTCTCCTGTCTGCAGCACCCCTTTATTGGACACAGGCAAACACCGGCCAAATATCACCTCAAATGATACGCACTAAATAAAGCTCCCCAAGTCGAGCGCCGTTATCGGGAAACGGCGGGAAATGAGAAGGAATGGTGCGTTCAAGGTGCATCTGTATTTACCCAACTGTTGGATCATTTGAACCCAACTGTTGGGTTAAAATCTAATAATAGCACGGTCACATAGGTTTTTACAAACGAACCAGGCCAAGTGGCCCGGATTGTCGCCACAGGGGTGTGAAAACGGCCCGCGGTCACATGAACGTGTTGTCTGAACCGTGCCAGAGTAGTACAACGCCCGGTCCAGCTGGTGGCGCTAATAATAACTCCAGTGACTACCACGTTGACCGAGTTGAGTTTCCGCTTTTTTCCTGTTTACATTCTGCTACTGTAGCTAACAGGCCCGAGCATGCAACACGTTGTTTGCATCAGAGCAATGTGAACAAGTGTAATGTCTTTCACCAAAATGCAGCGGTGGGACACGTGTGTGTCTGTGTGTGCGGGCGCGGCGGACACGGGAGCGCGCCTTTATAGTAACGAGCGTAAAGCGCTGAGAATGAATGAATGAGAATGAAAGACAGAAAAGTGGCTACGAGCGACCGGCGCATGCGTGTGTGTGTGTTCTGGCGATTAAATAAAGACTGACTCTTGAATGTCTGAAGTGTTGTTGCAATAGCACCACACTGAGAGCGAGGGTCAGGACAGAAGAAAGCTATACCCGTAGGATATACCACGGTCCGGGGCTTATATGAAAGGTTTAAGACAGCGGAGAATACGAAAGTGCAGGAGAGACTGTGTGAAAATGCACGTCACAGGAAGACGTAATATGACGCACAATATTAAGTCCCTACCACACCTCACCTCCCACTCCCCACCACCCGCGACACTGACCCCCCTCATCTGCACCGGGAAGCGGCCCTGGCTTTAGTTTTGATTCCGGGAATCGTGCTGAGGCACGAATCCCGCGGCCACAAAGCACCAAAAGCCCGGATCTAGTCGCGAAGCGGGCCCTGGCCCACTTTAACCGGGCTTTAGGCTGCGCATGTGACCGCAGCCTTAGGTCACGTCATTATCTCGTCATTATCATCATCGTACAGTCACTTCTTACAGACGTATTCTGCTCTGACTAATCATTAGGAAACATATAAATAGAAGGATTCATGTTACAGAAAGACAGTAAAGGAAATATGTCGTCATCCCAATACTGAGGACTGAGATACATGCCACAGTCTTTTCATCTGTCTCGTGTTTGTGTTTGTGTTTGTGCGCAGGAGATGCAGCAGTGCGCTGTGAGCAGATGGACTTGTTGCTTCAGTGGGGGGCAGAGTTTCGGCAGGCCTCGTCCCAGCCTCCCGAAGGGGAAAAAGTCCTGGAAGATCTCGTGGCCTTTGACGTCGTACTGGGAGACCTCAACTTTGACAACTGCTCTTCAGGTTTAAGCAATACTGGTTTTATTGCCTTTTTATTGTACATAATATATCCTGAATAGAATATATTTTTAACCTTTAACACGTTGCACACTTCTGTCTTTTGCGCAATATGACTGATTCTATCTATGCCAAATGTGACATGTAAATTTCTCCAGTGTGAGATCAATAAAGTCGATCTTATCTTATCTTATCTTAAAGATTTAGCTGAACAGAAGTAGTGGCTTTAGCATCAAGTCGATGTGAAGAGATCCTTTGTTATTCGTTCCACAGTGAATTGGTCAAAATATTTCGATCCAATAAAACAGAACTGCTTTGCCAATTTTTGAGACATCAGTAACCAAGACATCCCACTGATTCAAATCATTTCGTCAAACTTTACCCAGCCTAGACCTTGTTTAAAGCCCCAAAACTGCAGAATTGACCCGTTGTATTACAATCCACACTTCACAATGTCAACCCTTTAATGTATATAAAATAATAATAATGCTTCAGACTTAAAAATTACTTACTTACAAGTTTTTTTATGAGTTTTTTTCTTTAAATAGATCTTTTCTGTAAAAAAGAAAAGACAAATGTATCATTGGAAATATCAATAAATGGGTAATCTGATAATTATCTGCTGAATTCAAATCACTAGTTCCCTAATTAATACAATAATACATATACAATCTAAAAGGATATCATATGACAGGTCCAGCCAGTATGAATGTTCCAGCACAGAACAATTTTTCCTCGTACAAGTACAAGGAAAAATGTGCCATTCACTGTCACATTTGAAAAGCAGGTTGCAACATCAACATTTGGGAAAGGAGTTGCTTTTACAGCGGAGATGCATAGGAGATTATGATGTTGCCGTCATAGTAACTGCAGTATCTATTATGATGATGTGTGTTCAGTCAGGGTGTTGTTGTCTTCCTGATGTCTATCTGCTGTAATGTGAGTGTGTTAAGTCTGCTCTGTACCTGGTGTCAGAGTGACGTCCTCCTCAGGCTCACTGTTCATTCTGTGGCTTTTCAGAGGACAAGCTGGAGCAGCAGCACGCACTTTTTACTCAGTACAAGGACCCCTGCCGCCTGGGGCCCGGTGAGGACAAACCATGGGCTCTGGGTAAGAACACACACACACACGCTCACAAACGCACGCATGCACAAACACACACATACACACATCCACACATCCAAACCAGCACACATCCACACATGCACACATGCATAGTCGCACATTCACACACATACACACATGCACACATGCATAGACGCACACTCACACACACCTGCACACATCCACAAACAGATGAGCAGAACATTATTTGGTTTGGTACTTTCTTTAGTTACAGCCATTTGCATTATTTCTTTCTTTCTTTTTCACTTAATTTATTTTAATTGTGGACATGACGATACACAACATATTACAATTACAATCCGGATCCACTTCAATCAGTGGTTCCTTGTCCCATTTCCGAGGTTTCCTGAAATGTTTTAAATATACCAGACAAATTCTGGTGAAAACATTGCCTCTTGTCAGAGGTAACAATTACACAGACACAATACTATCCATTTTACTTTGAGAGCTATGATGTTTTTTATTCTGTATGTATCATAAAATCCATGTTGAAATTACCTCAATTTTGTGCTTATTTGTGGATGAAACGAGTGGCGCGTGGGCACATGACATTAATGACGTCACACTGAAGCTGTGCTCTGCATATGAGAGGTATTTAGGCCATCTGTATTTTAGGAGCCGTGTGGGCACAATGAAAGCATTCATAGCACCTTGTTTATTCAATTATCACTGGGATGAAATCCATAAGACATCAGAGGCATCACTGTTCGCTAAGATCAGTTTGTGGTTGTCTTTCATTTCTAGTAAAGAATCATGTGATTTAGTGATAACTCAGTCATTACTAACACGTACTAATGACATCGTGCTGAGGAAATACCCTAATAAATAGATACTATATTTTGCCATCCCAAAAGAATGTAGCTAAGCACACGCTATGCTAAGTGTAAGATATAATTTCTTATAGAAAATTAATAGTTTAGTTTAGTTTCAAGTTTAAAATAAGTGAACCAGCCCAAGTTTTTGTGAACCGCAAGCCCAACCCATCTCAATACATGTATTTAAGGCAGTGGTGCTGCTGCATCTGTGAAAGTGAACATGTGAAGCCAGAATGTGAAGGCTTCCCACACAGATTTGACATTACAACTTATGATCAAGAATTATGAGGGAGAAACTATACTGTGTAAATTTGATTTATCAGGGTCACTGTTGTTGTCAGGATCCACCTCAGGTCCATGATAACGAGGTTCATGGCAATTTGTTGCATTTACAATAAGGTCATTCCACAGAATAATTTATTTCAATGGTGCTAATCAAGGATTAATCCACTTTTCTTCTATTGACAAAGATAATGTTTATCAAAAAAATGTATCTTCTTTGTCTTTTAGGGACTTTACTGGATCCCAGTGGCCTTTATGATGATGAAGTTAGCTCACCTGAAAGTTTACAAAAGTAAGTTTATTGTGCAATACTTGCCATCATTCTGCCTCTGCCTATCATGTCAGTGTATACGTATTATGGGGAGGGAGTGTTTACCAGTAGTATAATCAGTGCCCTCCTGTGGAGGTTGTGGTAACATCACTTTTGCTGAAGCTGCTCTTGCTGTCAGCCCAGTGTGTAAAAGAACAGCAGCGTGAGCACAAAGCTAAAAAAATTTTTTTTTTAAAAAGCAGTGTTGCATTTGGGATATGGTTGCACTCATCCTGAAACATACAGCTTAACTTGCTTATAGAGACCTTATGTTGTCTTCAATGATAATAAATGGTAAACCAACTGAATGAACCATATGCCCCATGCTCTTTTGATCTTGAATTGCTCTTCCTTAGCAGGACAGACCTCACATTTCTGTCTACCGCCTCCAGCTACAGTCTTACCAAAGGCAGGGGCACAGTATGATGTTAATGTCAATGCTTTGTCATAAGTCACCCCTGTGTGCCTCAGAGTGATGGAGAATGAAGAGGGCCGCAAAGAGTACCTGGTGTTCCCCCCCAGTAAGAGCCAGTGCCCCCGGAGCAGTCAGAAGGGCAGGAAGATCCCTCTGAAGGGCAACGGCCGCCGCATCGACTACATTCTCTACAGCGACGAGGGCCTGCAGCCGGACTGGAAACTGGTACGCAACATTGAGAAACACCAATAAACAACTAAACTCATGTGACGTTCTGCAGGTCTTACATACTGTACACACATGATCTTTGTCTAGGATCCTTAACTGTTTGAGGCCAAATATTGTATTTTTTCCATAATTAGCAGAATAGGGCTGGGATAAACAACTATTTTTAAAACAATTAATCTTGAAATTGTTCTTCCAATGCACCAAATATTTAATAAAATTTCTGTTTGATTTGATCTCCCCATTATTGACTAATAGCAATTTATTCATGTTGATTTACATATCTGAAAGAAAAGGTCATGAATCCCTTAACACAGTGTTTTTCAACCACTGTGCCGCGGCACACTAGTGTGCCGTATGATATTGTCTGGTGTGCCGTGAGAAATTCGTCTACTTTGTCTAAAAATAGCTGCATTCGCTGTTGACGAGCGGTGACTTGTTTTGAACTGTGAGTAACCATGTAATACTTTTTCAAATCAGTAGATGGCAGCAGATAGCTAAGTACTTTGAAACTGAAAAATTGGATGCGACCACTGGCTACAGGTCAGCATTGTGGCGAGAAAGGTAAAATTGGATGCGACCAACAAATGTGTGAGGGAGCGAGACAAGAGCTTTGTGGCGAGTGAGAAGTGAAAGTGATAGAGACGTTTTTGAAAATGAATTATGCCGTTTCTGAACAGGATTAACATCCTCCGCTCTGCCCCGGGGTAGCTGTGGCCGCGTTGTAGTGGTTTAACTATGAAATGTACGATTTTTGTACAACAGCTCTCGCGAACGCACTTCTGAACTGGGTACCGAGCGCAGACCGTAGTCGAGTGGACAGAACCACAGACATGCGGACCGGACAGAACCATGGACTCGCGTTCAGGACTTCCCGTGTCCCTCATCCAAAACTCCTGAATTTAAAGCTCGGATACCAAAATGTTTCCCATGCACTAACAATGCATGTTCTTTGTGTGAGTTATTATTTGACTATTTGGGCAGAGAGTGGATTTTCTTAGTTTTTTTCCACACAGTTAGTGCCACTTTATTCCCAAACTCTTGTTAATTGTATCGAGAAATATTAAATAAAGCTTAATTTCAAGGCCTGGACTTAAGCATTTTGATGAGAATAACTGTATATTGTGAATATAGGCTACAGAGTATACTGTATACATTATAAGATAAGATGAGATATACTTTATATATCACACAGAGTATGTACAGTATATATTTTTTTACATTAGTACTGTATACATTTTTACATTTTCTCCTGGAGGTGTGCCGCAAGATTTTTTCAGTGAAAAAAGTGTGCCTTGGCTCAAAAAAGGTTGAAAAACACTGCCTTAACATAGTAATATATTATTTGGTGCAAAGTAGGAAGGAGCCTGAAGCTCCGGCACGGTGGCTGAGTGGATAGCACTCTCGCCTCTCAGCAAGAAGGTCCTGGGTTCGAATCCCGGTCGGACCAGGGCCTTTCTGAGTGGAGTTTGCATGTTCTCCCCGTGTCTGCGTAGGTTTCCTCCGGGTACTCCGGTTTCCCCTACCACTAAAAATATGTCCAATAGTTCTGGCATGAGCCTCCTATACTGGTGACCCTGCTCCCATCTCTGTGTGGAGTGAGAGACAAATGCCCAAAAAAACAAATAAAAATTTACAATTGTAAACCGCTTTGAGACTCAGATCTGCAGTGAAAAGGTGGTATATAAATAAAGATTACTTACTTACTGAAGCAATAGTTTTATCTAATATCAGAGGTGACAAATCAGCGCTTATATTTTGCATCAACAGCATTGATTTTGTTGATGCATTGTCCAGGCCTAAGACAGACATTTCTTGAATTATGGATAGATGTTTAATAACATTGTATTGTATTAATTTCTATGTTTGATTGCGCCCACAGGACCTGGAAGAGTTCAGCTTTGTGACTCAGCTGGCCGGCCTCACAGATCACCTGTCTGTGGCCATGAGATTGGCGGTGTCCACCGGCGAGGACGAGCCTTAGTCCAGAGCTCACTGCCACATTCACAAAACACATGTTTACAGGCTCCGTGTGTGGAGGACACGGTCCCTCCACTGAGGAGCCATGAGGAGAAAGATCGTCAGTCACGACGGCTGAACCAAGTGGAGAATCACACCTCATCCACTTCCTGGACTGAGGAAGACGTTTGACTTTTAGATATGGTCTGATTCATGTTGGACTGAAGTCACGTTCATGTAGCCAAGTGATGCACCACTCAATCCACAAGATCATTGGTTTGGCCTGTACTATGTTCTATTCCTTCTATACCTTCAGGGAATGTGGGTAAAATAGACTGTTTCATACAGGACATCACACTTTTGGCTACTTTTTATGTCGCTACACACACACACACACACACACACACATATATATCTATACATATATATATATATATATATATATATGATGGATTGATATATATATATATATATATATATATATATATATATATATATATATATATATATATATATATATATATATATATATATATATATATTTAGACAATTACAATAATGATGAAGAGGACCAGTACTTATAGTTATTCTGGGGTGAAAAGGTGACCCACTCATATTCAGAATATCTGAGACTGGACAAATACATAAAACATCTTTTCTTAATCTCTGAACCATTTGGAGTGAATTCAAGATAAACCTATGTTATAAACTTGTATTATGATTTTTTTCAGTTTTAAGCCATGTCAATTGCTGCACCTTTTGTACTGTTTTGTATTTTTCTTATCATTTAAATCCATTGAAGTTTTTACACTCAATAAATATCACATCAGGTGAGGTAACTAAAATTACCGGCAATGACACTAGATTTTACCTAAATCAAATAGCGCAACGAGTCTTATGGTATTAGAGAAAAATGTCCTTTTGAAAGAGAGTAAACTTGCTTTCCTACAGTTCATGGTTGTCCAAACGGTTTTCATCAATGACACATAGTGAAACACACTTGTTGTTGTTGATTTTCCAAAAAGATATCTCTCTCTCACACACATCTCTCGTGCATTATTCGGATGGTTATTGATAATGCCCCTCAAAAAGGAACACTCCAGAGTTTGGACACCCTTATTTAGTCAGATATTATTAAAACATATTCTATTGTGGCCTGTATCATGATTATCATGACTTCACCCAAAATAATAATTGTTTCAAAAACATAGTCATGAAATGCCCGGTCCACAGAGCCACAGTTTTCACACAGAAGCGTTTACATGGTTCTCAGGCCTCAGTGCAGAGTCCGGCAACAGCATGCACCTCTTCCCTTTATTACTGGTCTTTTCATAACTTTGACACATTATTTATCGATTCTTATTATTACATAGATTTGTATTGCTTCGTTCTATACGTTTCGTACAGTCTTTTTGTACAAAGATCAAATGCCTATTATTTATTGTTTTACAGTGAAATGTAAATAAACCGCATTGAAGGATCTTGATTTGAGCAATGTTAAAAATATATAAGCTCTTTATTGTCTTTAAATATTAAAAAGAATCTTTTATATGCAGACTATGTAAATCATCACATCAAGTATACACATAGTCCACCACTCAATGTGAAGAAACAATCATTAAGTGATAGATGCGTCGAAAGATCTCATGACCTAGGCTTCTTACTTATTTTAATCATCATAAAACTATACAAATTAACTGAACGACGAGATCGAAACTGTTTCCATAAACAAGGGAATGTGCATTAAGTGAAAGCCCCTTTCACAAAATTAACATGCTTTCCATTCAACCAGAACCGGCTTTATGTGAATAGTACTCAACTACTTTATTACTTTTGGCCAGAACTGATTGTTTGCTTTTTATGATTGATTTTTCCCCCAGCGCTGTTCTATTCTATCGTCCATAACATGAGACATGGACATGGACTAGAACAGATTTTGTGAACAGGCACCCGCCAGTGTTGGGTGTCACTTTGTGTTCCAGAATTTTGATTCAGTTCCTGTAAAAATCGGAAGTTCTCTGATCTGACTTTTTGAGGCCTTTTTGCCCAAACATTTCCATCAACTACTGTTAGCCTGTAGTAGCTTTAAAAATCAGTGAAGTTGAAGAAACATTGTGGACGAAAAAACACCGGTGCACTGACCAAGAGGGATTTATTTTGAACTTGAAAACGCATAGTAAAAGAATTCACACAGACATGCACAGATGACACATATTTTAACCAATCAAAAGCATGCATATTATACTTGACGTGGGAACAAGAGCCAATCAGGAGTCTACCAGTCTTTACGTTTACACAACACAAGAAAAAAGATCAAACTATTGCCTTAGCCCGAGTTACACACACTCAAACGCATGGCCAGCTTGATTACAATTTCACTTTTTTGACGTACATTCAAATTATTCATGATATTTCTTCTGCATGGGAATGATGGAAGTAATCTGTTGCGTTCAGGTTCTCATGTTTGGAAAGTTTCCGATTTGTGTGACAATATTCCCAGCTCTAATGTGGGATTGGTCTTTAACAGGCGTATAAATGCATGTACCAGTGCTTGGGGCTTGTACGTAGTATTTTAGGAATGCTTCACTTTGTTACTCTCTCAGCGCTGATTTTTTCTACCATTTGTCTGTTAATGTTTTTTATAAATGCCATGCAGACTGGTAGTTGGTTCATGTCCATATGGTGGCTGGGAATCAATAGCTTTTCTCTATGCTTGTTTGTCAAATTGCTTATTTTTTCTGCATTTTTAAAAAAGCAAAGATTACCCTCTTTGTGTCTGTGTGATTTATTATACTCAATGTGCAACAAAATCAACTGAGATGAAGAGATTATAACAATAAGTGTAAACAGTGTTAGAGAGTGACAGATTTTTATTACTATGATTTACTTATTTATTTTATTGTATTTATTGTATTTATTTTATTTTATTTTATTTTATTTATTTTATTTATTTTATTTATTTTATTTATTTTATTTATTTTATTTTATTTATTCGTTTTTTTTTTGTTTTTTTTTTCAATCTTGTGACATTATTTTGACTCCATCAAGTTTTAGCAGGGATGGTACATTTATTGGTGATTTTAATTCACCAGGATTTGAAAAGGATTTATCCGAGAGCTCTGATCATCACAAGTCAACAGTGCGTAAAAAACACTATCATTAAATCATGTTGTGTCCAGTTTTCTCCATCAGCTGTTGGTTAAATGTTGCATCACAGCATAAGGCTTATATACAAGTGCAGCCTTTAAGGAAATATACCTGTTTTGGGCATCTCTCTGGGTTTTTGGCACTTTTAGGCAAAATTAGGAACAAACATAACAAGTAAATTTCTCAATCCATCAATAAAGTTTCATATTATCTTATCTTGATTGCATCTCAACCATTTGGTATAGCTCAATAATCAAAAAACTTTCTTCAAGGAGTGAACATTATAAATAGCTTGTCTTGCTCTGAATGGGTAAAGCAAAACATGTGCTCGTTCAATTCACAAATCTTGTTGATCACGAATTATCTCATGCAAGTTCTTGTGACTGGTTTTTCAGTGTATCTTCCAAGGCAATTATTTGAACAATAATAATCCTCATTGATTTCACGCACACGTTAAGTCACTGCAATGTTATGATCTGACATATCAGCACTTTTGAATGCCCCAGAACGCTCCCATGAGGCTTTCTAATAACACAGGGCAGTACAAGGAAAGTACAGCTCAGGCACTTCCTCATAGCTGAAATGCAGGTCTATCCATGTCCTTTGTTTTGAGGAAGCACAAATAATAGACAGTGAACAGTGGAGAGTACATGTGAAAGTACCATGTGCCATAATGGTGCAGTCCCCAAGATCAGGTCTGGTTTCCCTGCTCCCTACATCTGTATAAAGGGAGCAGTGGACTCAGATGATCCACATTCATACACAACACTTCACACTATGGCTGCTCCTGGTCTCACACTGTCCCTGCTCGTGCTGCTGATCGCCAGCATCAGTCTCAGTCAAGGTAAGAACGAAACGCAGAAAAGAAAAAAAGAAAAAATTCAGGGAGTGTTCACACTTGTTGATCTGGTTTATTTTAACCAGGCCGAGTTTGGTTCGCTTGGGGAAAATTGCCACAGATTTGTTTCAATAATTTGACCGTTTTATCAGTCAATCAATCAATAATTTATTTGTATAGCACAATTTGTGTACAAGGAAATTCAAAGAGCTTTAAAAACACAGATCAAAATGCATGAATGCACTATGTCAATAGAACATAAAATAATTTCACATTAAAACAGTAGCATAAAAGTCCATCCATACATTTTCTTCCGCTGCACCCAGTACAGAGAGCACCAGCCCCTCACCGGCTTCAGGCAAAGTGGGGTTAAGTGTCTTGCCCAAGGACACTACGACAACAGTCATCAGCGGGAGTCGTTAAGTAGGTCTAATGGTTGGCTCGAACCCATGACCTTCAGGCTCAAAGGCCAATGAGTAGCATCAAAGTATGGGCTTTTAAACTCTTATTCAAAGTGGGTTTAAAAAGGGAGCTCAAAGCAATAAATAGAACAAAACATCCACAACTTCCTATTTGTGTATATTTTGTGTTTATTGTATTGTTTATTCATGCACAGCAGCTGTAAAACACTCTCGAATACTCTATTTATGAAGTGTGTTATGTAAATGTAGTGCATTTGGAATCAGTTTAGAACTGTTAAGCCAAGGACAGTAATGAAAGAAAGGCTTTAGAAAATAAAATGAATTCAACTATGAAAAAGTGTTCTTCGTAGAATTTCAAAATGTCATTCAGGACCGTCGAACAAATTGTAAAACTATTTCAGACCAAGTTTAAAGGTAAAAAATGACTTGTTATGATTGTGCTGATAAATGGTCCAGGGCTTATTCAGGTATTTTAGTTTATCTTTAGTAGATATTTCAGTTTTCTCGATTTTGTAGCTATGACAAGGATTGTGATTGAAAATACCTTACTCCTCCATGTTTCAGGTGCAATAGTTCCATATGGTGAAAATACATTTGTTTCATATATGTAGTGGACTAAAAAGTGCTTTTTACTTATTTATGCAACATTCCACTTCTAAACAAATATGACTCAGAACCTCAAAATATGTATTACTTACTTACTACAAATGTAAGATAAAAAAATGCAACAACAATTTAAATCAACTATTTATATATTCAACTCTTGTTATTTCATAGCTTTTCGTGGACCTGGGCCAAAGAGATGCTGCTTCAGATTCACAAAACCTGTTGATGAGAGTAAAGTGACGGGCTACACGTGGACTCATCAGCAGTGCCCCAATGCTGCTGTGCTGTAAGTAACATGACATTTGATTGTGTAATGATAATAATAATACAATTCATTAGCATTATTAGGGCAGGTGTTGGCCATAGTTGGACATATTCTTAGTCAATTCAATACGTGCCAAGATGATCGATAGTTGACTAAAAAGGGCAGGGCAATAAGATACGTTCCAAGGCCTAAACTGTACAACACTTTTTATATAATATCACACTCAAAAAGAAGAAAGTACTGTTCACTTCTGGTTGTTGTTAAATGTACTTTATGAACCCATTTACATTGACATGGCTTGAATCTCAAAATAAAATGTTGAAGTTTTTCCCCCATTGTTTTTTTACAGTACGTACAAGGATTTCTTGTATAGAAAAAGCCCCACCTAAAGAGAAAGTACATGTTCTCAACCCTTTCTGGTAGCTCCCCAAAGGAGTCAAGAACTAAACACGTGATCCTGAATGATTCACTTTTGAGTCATGATATGTCTATTTTAACTATAAATCTTTTCATTAATGCAGGGATACTGTATTAAGTGGTATATTATACAGGTGTGTTCTCCATAATTAGGAGATTTGATCACAATTTCATTACAACTGCTACAGGAGTAGCTGCCATTACTGTTTTATGAAAGTAGCTCTCCAATCCAGAAAAGCTTGGAGACTCCTGTATCAACATGTTATCATGTTCTCATCATTAACATGTCTGCGTTGCATGTTTACAGGCTGAAAATGAAGAATGGCCATGTGTGTGCCAACCCCTCTGAGCACTGGGTGAAAGAGCTGATCCGGCGTCTTGACTCCTAAACTCTGTTTGGAAACGTGTTCAGTGTGTAACTGTAACCAGGAATGACTCCACATGATCTTCGGCTGCTACAGTATAAAACGTGTGCAAAAACTCTATTGCACACATTCTTCTCAAGAGTAAACAAAGCTTAAGTCTCCCCAAGAAGAAACAGCTCTCATCCATAGCTTTATTTTGACTTTGCTATAAATGTATTACAGGCAAACTTTTGGAAGTCTTTTCAATTACAACTCAATTTTGTTTAGAGTGGATGCATTGGCTTGGTTGTACGTCTGAAAGAATGTGGATATTTTGTATACATTTTATTTTTTTGCAATAATGATGTTCAAAGGGTATGAATGGTGTGCAGTGACCCTTGGGGGCATATACAAGCACTTTGTGATACAATGTGTTCTTTGCAGTATGATGTATGCACTTATTAGCTTATTTGTTGGCTATCTATGTAATGAATATCACTGAAACCAGATAATATACCAGGTGATATTTCAATCATTCAATACAAAGACTAGAATGTAGTGTTCTTGGGAAACAATGGGTAGGGCTATGGAACCACTACACTACAAGTCCTATGGGAAGCTTACAATGTATGTGTTTATTTTATAGATATGACTGAAATGATGGCACTATTATTTCATGTAGGTCTATTTGTAATACCTACCATGTCCATTTGGTGTCGCCAACACTGTATATAAGATCTGACACAAACGCATCTGATTCATAGACTGTAAATATTAAATCTGACTATAACTATTGCGATTGCTGCTTGGTTGCTTTTTTGTAGGATGTTTACTTTATTTCTTTTACATTTGTGTATGTATATATTTTTTTTAAATAAATAACGTTTATTTTACCAACCAATGACTGGCTGCGTTTTTCATTAGAGGATTCAACCATAAACAAGATAAATATCTGTTCTTTTTATCTATTTTTTTTCTTCACTACATTGTCCAAGGAATTTGAAACGGACTCTGCATTTAATATTAGGATGCATCTCTGGCTCAGAGTCGACAGTGAACTCAGCCCTGTGTTGGAGGCGGTCAGTCAACGCCTCCGGACAGAAGGCCTCACGTTCACGGGCCAAATCTGACCAATGAGGAGGCGGTGATCAGAGCTTTTTCTGTGGTGTAAAGCTTCGCAAGGCAACACTGACCGGAAACCAGGAGGGAGGAAAACCACAACTAACCCACAGAGGCCTCTTGTTCTGTGCCTGTCAGTTTGACGAAATTAGTGAATTAGGAGTAAAAACAAACAGAAAGACGAACAAAGATAAATATTTTATTGTATACAATAAAATAAAAATGAATACAAAATTTAAAAAATATATATTTAAAATAAAAGATGAAGAAACAAAATGAAATAAGATAAAAAATAAAATGGAAAAAAGAAAGAAGATCAAATAAGATCAAATAAAATAAACATGCACTCAACATATCATAAAGATACGTGCGTTACTATGGTTACGCGATAAAAATAGATTGATGTGAGAAACGGGGTCGCTATGATGTCTTATTGTGAAACTATTGACCGGAAGTCATACTCGTCTTGTTTTCTGCCTTTGATCTTGGAAACAAATATTCGTCGAAGCCCTTTTCCCTGCGCTACATCTGGTCGTAGTAGAATCATTCAGCGGCCATATGTAATCTAAGTCCATTCATTCTGCCCTGGACACTGCATCGTTTTTGGCCGCAGGACTTGGGTTTGGTTTGGGGTCGCACAGGACTGAGGTGGTCGGGAGTGAGAGACTGATCTGGAGCTGGTGGTGACAGAAGCGAAATGATCGAGCGACCAGAGACCGCTGTTCCGAGCATCGCTGTGAGTCTATATTCTTACAAACGCACTCGTATGACATCTGTCTTGAACCGACTTGTAATAATCCACAAATAAACTGGATCTTTGACGCCCAGACATTGCTTCGTGTGCGCCTTACTAACAGCTTGTATTTTTACTCAGCGTAGTAGCTCCATATAGATCGAGTACTGAGATAGAGTGCTACATAATACATATTTTACTCTGAGATTTACCCAGTGCTGGTTGTCAGTAAAGCATTTATAGAGATTTCACCCTTAACCAAAAGGCAAATAAATCAGAGCAATGACGAAGAAGCTGTGTTACATCGCCAAAGCAAAATCCATTCAGAGAGGGGCGTATTGACAGACAAAAGTACCAGAAGAGGCCCAAGCGGGAATAGTCCATTAGTAGGGCAGTAATATAATTCTCAACCATGATTAAATTAAACCTGTTCCATGTGTGCAGTGTGTTTCGTTAAAGCTGGTGTCCCTAACTTTCAAACCCTCAAAACATCACTGTGATATCTCAGCTCTCAAGACAGTTTAGCTCAAGCCCTAGTTTTCACATGCATGCAGTTTAGACGTCTATAACACCTTAAGATCAGAGTTTTTGGACATAAAAGTGTAAAATAGAGAACAACCATCTCTCAGCCAATCAGCTCTCACGCCCAAAACGTCTAATAGTGACGCACAGGGCTCTTCCAAAAAATGCATAATATAAAGATAGCCTATTGTGGTCAGATTTCTTCATAACAATGAAACAGTTAGATACCCCAGCTTTAAGTTACATATTAGATCTATGTTTGTTTGTTTTTTCTTATTGATTTATGAAGTTCAAAGCCATCAGTACGTGTTTTCACAATACGTTACTTGTAATGATTAGTTGTTATAGGATGTTTAAGTTAGAATTTCCATGCAAACCCTTTTGATGGTGCACTAATACTTGGGTAAATGTTGATGTTTTCAATGACACAAACTTTGCATAGCACTTTGTTATGGACATGACAGCAGGCTTTGCAGGTTGCTTTATGAGGACTCTTCCACAGCTCTCACATGAGTTACGACCCGACAGTAGAAAAGTGTAACATCTGCATGTGAAAGATCCAAAGACTACTGGAATGTCTTCAGTTTGTGCCAAAATCTATATAAAATATGAACTGGCAAAGGCTGTCTGGTCACAAGTATGGAAAACTTATGTATACAAAGGTTTTCTCTAATCCCAATTGCAGTAAATACTATGTTTATACTCTGCAATAATGCATCAGGCTCAAATTAAAATTCTTCTACTGCACATAAAAAGTCCAATCATCTCTACAATGCAAAACAAACTAACTTTTAACTGTGTTGGAATGTCTTGGGAAGTTACAACCCCAATTAAAATCTGTGCATATTATGTCTTAATAATAGTTATCTTGTCTGTGGAAAGTCCCTGCGCAGAAACCATAGCCAAAATAGTTCCATCAGCAGAACAATGCTACTTTGCTCTAGGCGGTCGATCTATAGTTCAGTGTTGCAGTGATGCCTTTTCCACAGTCTATTTCCATGTGGTTTTCAGAGCAGGGACATCACTGATTTGCATTAGTTTGTATATCACAATTTACATCTGAGTCAATGATTGCGTATTTATTGTTAGAGAACAAATGATATTATGTTCATTCTTTTGAATCTTTGATTAGTTGGTCAATGGATGCGTGTATTTTGGTTGAACCTAGGGCCGCTGGTTAGATGACAAATCACATTAAGCAATTATAGAAAATCCGAAATCTTTGACTGGACAAACTCCAAAGCACAGAAACAGATATTTTAGAACAAAAGAAACTGGATTCTGCTTATGAAACTTTATGAATCACCCTTCACCCATCCATATCACTTTTAGAAGTAATTTCTTTGTTTGGATTGTTTATTGTTATTCTTCACTTGTATAGCATTGAATTACACATATTTTTATGTGATAAAAAACTTTATATTTTGGATTTGGTCAAATCCAACTCTCTGCAGTAATGACCCGTGACATGGCCTAAAGTCGAGTCACTTTCTTGACTCGACTTCAGATGGAAATATTTATGCGTTTACTGTTTTCCACTAAAAATGTTGATGGACCCAATCACCCACACAAAATGCAGACCCTCCACCAGTAAAGTTGTGTAATCCACCTTTTAACGCCTTCATAATTAAATAATTGATAGTGACATTCAGCCCTAGTTGCATCCTTATGTGTTTGTCCCCTCACAATTTTCCAAGATACAGCAGCATAAAACAAATGTGAATGCGCCATCATCAGAATCGGAATCAGATTTATTTTTATTGCCATTGTGAGAAACAGGAAGTCACAAACGAGAAATTTGCTTAAATATGCCGCAAACAAGCTTTTTTTAAAAAACAGATATGAAGGCATGCATATAGAAATGCACTGCAATTCTAGTCATTTAACAAACAGAACAGATTGTGTAGTGACAGAAGTGTACAGTGACGATTGTATCATGCGGTTAATTTACATGGAGTTTTTGATGTGTTTCAATGGGCCGGTCCACTCATTACACAGCATCCTTTGTCATGTGGGGCATGTGTAGTGTAGTGGCGTGGGCTGAAGCTCTTGTTAGCATTGCATCTAGTGGGTGGTGGACACATGCCCTCACAGACATGCCAGAGGAGCTGTGGGAGTAAAACACACAACGCTAAAAATACAAAAGCCCGAGCACCAGGCAAAGAAGAACGCAGTATTTGTAGTTATGAATGTAGCAATTGCAAGTATGTAGTAATAGTGCGAAATTGGCAACACAAAGCCTATAATGGGGAGCTATTATTGCACTGTGTAAACCATAGACTGTAATGACTATAACAAAAACATTTAGTCATTTCTGGAAGATAGGTAGGTAAGGACAATACAGACAACTATTGAAATATATAGACACATTAGACCTTGTGCTGTTACTTCATTTATTTCATTGTTTTGACAAGACAATATATCACTTTTGAGAAAACCTATTTTATTAGTGAGCCAAACAAACAATGGAAACACCCATCCACAATCAATCATAATAGATGCACAAATATATATTGTTTCAAATTTGACATCTCAGCCATAATAATAAGTAAAACAAACATTGTGAGTACTTATAACTATTATTTATACTATTCCCACTGCTGACTCATGATGTGGCACAGAGAGATTGTCACGTCTTTAGTAAACAGTGAGTAACGTAGAGACTGGAGGCCTCTGGTTCAGCTGCTAAATGCACAGAGGGCTGGACTTAATAAGGATGATGTCAGTGAAGCAGGCATCCACGGCCTCCACTGCGCGATTGGGGGAGGGTCACATGACTGCTGTGGCGTGAGTCCTCCTCATCCCCCATCCGAGTCAACGCTAGCATATTATATTACCTCTGATATTGCACTTATGTCTGTTGTCTGTTCAGTCCTGTTTGTTATCCCTTTTAAAGTATTAACCAATGACCTGTGACATGAAAAATATAAGGTCAAACCTGTGTGAAGAACTGCACATTAACATTCTGCCATGTGGCTAAAGTTTACACAAATATTCTAAATGATTTGTTTACTTTGACTTGTATGGTTGTGATGAGTTTTGTCGGTTGGCTACGACACTACCACCCCTGTACTTCCTGTGTGGGAGAGCCTGTTATTTCTTTGTCACCTCTTTAATACACACTCTTTTATCCTCTCTTTCAACTGCACTTAGCTTCAACGTTTTTTTTTTTTTTTTTGGAGTTTCACAACACAAAAATGCTAATTGCTAGTTTTAAAATGTCGGAAATTATACTTTTTGTAATGCCTCACAACTAACACTGGTGAAGATGTGCAAACTTTGATACTAACACGTTTTTCTGTGCTTGGATGTGAGGCTTAATCTTGTGAATTGTAAAACATTTAAATATTGTGAGCAATGGAGCAATAGTGGAGACACTGTTTTTTTTTCCTGAAATGTACCGCTCTTTGGGGGAACAAGACCTTTTGAAACCTACATTTACTAGGAGCTAATGCCTCTTCACAAATCTAACCTTTTCTTTGGTTCAGTGGTGTCATCTCTGATTTGTTAATGCTATTTTAATAAGCATTCAATTCAAAGGTTTCTAGAAAAGAATAGAAATTGTTCCCTCTTGCAGAACAGTGATGCAATGCTTTAATGCCAACTTTAAAGTCGCCATCTCTAGATACTCTTCATGTCTGAGATTATATTTGCCTAGAAGATGAGTTGAAACTAACCAATGCCCGTTTCTTTCTATTTACTAACTCCTATGTGTTATTTCCTATAGCAACGGAACCTGGAGGGCTACGTGGGTTTCGCTAACCTCCCCAACCAGGTGTACCGGAAGTCTGTGAAGAGGGGGTTTGAGTTCACGCTAATGGTGGTGGGTAAGTGTCCAAACATGTGACCCGGAGTGAGGGCTTGAAAGAGAGGGCCTCTGAGGGGGTCGTGTGGCGGTGTTTAAAGACACACCTGTCCCCTGTGTGTGTTTGTGAAGCATGCGAGGCATCCATCCCACTCGGCCGCTCACACTGATGCGCTGACACCTTAAACAGCACCTGTGTGGGACATCTGTAGAAGGACCACCATAACACACGCTCACACTTGTTGGTATTTTTCACTTTTACTGGATCAATTTTTGTTCACTTTGGGCAAAAAAATAGCTTTATTCGTGGATGTAAAAAACCTTGGTAAACTTGCACTTATATTTAACTGTATTTTAATATGTATTTTAGTCACCTGCACTTTTTATTTGAACTTTATATTTATATGCAAGTTATATCATTGTATTGTTACGGCCTACAGGTGGAAAGTAGCATTGTGCAAAATCTGGTGCAGCCATCTTTTCAATGAAACTGCACATTGTCCTTAATAAATTAAACTTAAACAAGTGAACACAGGTCCACTTTTTTTAAACAGATTTGTGACTCATTTTTCCTCCATAAATGGTCCACTTGGAAAAAGGAATTAAGCCATGGGTTGTACCTCCAGCCAGGGCAGAAAACCAGGTTCTGGGACTTTCTGGTTGATACCCAAGAGTATATAAAAACATAACAACACAACACACATGCATACTGTTGTAGTGTGTTATGACCATTTACCACTTGCATTACAACAATTTGACATTTATTGAAATACACAATGTACAGCAGGATGTACCATAGCATACTTTTATTTTTTATACTTTTATAAAGATTTTTAATGGACAAGCATCCTCATCGCCACATGCTTTAAACCCTGAACATATTTTTATTCCCTAAAACATTCTTGGTTCTAAGCTTGCTAACATGTGCTAACGTTATACATTGTTGAAGTGTTTAGCCTTCGTGACTGAATGTTTCCTGTGGTTTGAAATCACAAACATACTTGGTTTGATTTAAGGCATAATGTATGGATGAATGAGGTGTGGGAGGAAAGTGCATGGAGCTGGAGGAATACTTTTGGCCACGTCTCTTTGAATCATGTGAATTCCACTGTCGCTACATTGCTGCTTTTAAGTGTGTTGTGATGTTATATGATGGAATATAGATCCACACACAACTCGCGTTCGTGATTTTGCTGTGACAGAGTTGGGGTGTCATTATCAAGATTTCAAAACCATTTCTCTAAACGTACAGTAGGCTTTGAAATATAAGAAGCAAATATTTATAACTTTGCAACCAGTAATTGTTACAAACAGGGAAAGTATGAGCTTGAGTTTAAACAGGAGGGTTTTGAATAAAAGAATGTTCTTTGTCAGGGTTTGATCACATATGGGGCCCACGGTGTCTTTTCCTGGTTTTCTTGGCCGCTGTCCCTGCATAGTCCAGCTGAAATGAACTTCAGATGCAGGTCTGAGGAATTTATCAAAATCATCTGTCAAAATACAACCATCATCATTAATTCAACAAGCTAAATCCATAGACTGTATATGGTTGGACAATGCTCACCTCCTATCACAATGAAGCCCAATAGGGAAGTGCTTGTGGATGAAGCTTGAAACCAACTTGTTCTGGTTCCTTTTGTCTTACATTGAACAGTAAACTTCTAACTCAGTAACCGTTTGTGTTCTCTCACTCACCATTTTGGGCTATAAAAAATCGGTGGTTTAGCGCTCTCTGTGATCCTGGTGTTTATATTTCGATGTAGTCTTTGTTTGTCTTTACATGAGCCATATAACGATTCACCAAGCAAATGTCTGCCCCGTGTACAATAAGGAAAAAACCTCCAGCTCCGGTGGTCCTGACCCAAATCTTTTAAGACAGTCAGAATGTACTAAAATTAAGACAAAAACCACTTGATTCAAGCAATTATTACCTCATATTTTATAATTTTTTGCACTGTGGGCTGTACTGTTGCAACCACTACTGCTGACAGACACCCTAGGGCCTAGTGGCATTGAGGGATGGGTCAAAATCTCCTATGGTTACAATGATGGACAACTTAACTAAAAATCCCATTGGGTCCTCGCCAATAAATCCATGTTATGACTCTGTTCCATCTTTGAATAAATTTGTGTCTTCCGGAGGTACCTCGTAAGTAGTATTACAATATGTAGCTTGAGAAGCAGTTGAAAAGGGCTTTAGAGCCTATTCTTTCAAAAATACACTTCATTTTTCACTTTAAATCAACTCTATCTGGACAAGCACTCGTTTTGGCACACCTCTTCAAGGAACACAACAAAGATTTGATTGTTGGAAATAACATTGTTCATGTGCTGGCCTCCTCTGTGCTGTACTTGGCTCTGAGAGGGGACAGCTCAGCAGCAGCGAGACCCAAATCTGTTGAAATGCAGTTTTTGAACAGACAGATGGCGGAATATGAGAGGCCTGCAGCAGGTAACCCAATCACATCGAGCAGCAGCACAGAGGGGAAGTCCTGCTTGGAGGTTGAGGCTATAAAACATCAGGGGCTATAGCTGAAAGAAAAGTCGCCGTGTCAAGCTTTTTGCATGATAATATACCTTAGTTTGCGTGCAAAGCTGTGCCCCCCCCCCCCCTCTTGATAGGAGACAGATTTATGAGGCCTGTGTGATAAGACGGGATGAATGATGAACTCTTGTATTCCGAGCCAGACATCAGTGATAACCACTTTCTAATGGCATCCAGCTGCACTTTTTCTGCAACTCAGTCACACCTTCAAAAAACTGTTACTGCCGGGAAGTAGGCGTGATGACGGTGCACAGAATAGATTTTTTCCTCACATGGATGGCACAACTTGGCCTGGCCTCTTCCATCTACACCTGCGGACTGCCCCGCCCGACCCGCCTGGGAGTGCTTCAGTCCTGCACCGGACCTGTCCACGTTCAGCGTCCACTGGTCCACGTTCTGTAGCTAGCTTAGGTCCTGGATCATTAGTCTGTCCGTCCGGAGGAGCGGATCCCTTTCTCATATGGGTCTCCCTCCCTGTGGGTTTCCCTAGTTCTCCTCCAAGGTTTCTCACTTTTTCCCACTGGGTTTTTTTAAGAGTTTTTCCTTGTCGATGCAGGAGGGTCTTGTTGGACAGTTAGTGTCCAACAGAAAGGATTGGTGATGATCAGGACACTTTAGCATTCTACAACATGTATGGACATTTTCTTCTGTGTGTGCTTTATACTGTATTCTTCATGTGTTTTAACTGTTGATTCTCTGACCTGTGTTGGTGATTTCAATGGTTTTGTTAAGTCCTCTGAGATGACTTCTGTTGTGACCTAGGGCTATACAAGAATAAATTGTATTGTGTATTGTGTACAACTTATGACACGAATATAAAAAAGATAAAGCTAGGGTACCTTACTTTCAAAACTAATAGAATCCCTCTGACTAGTTCCTCACTTTCAAAACAGTTTGGTTCTATCATTAGTGTCAACATGCAAGTATTTTGGACAACGTCACATTGGCCAAGTCTTATTCAGACTTGGAAAATCAGCCTTCAGGCCAAAGTGTCAAATTGCGACTCAACATTCTTAAAAGATAAGATGACGACTTCATGTTGTGATCTGATGGATTGGTTCACGAAACTTTTCTTTTACAAGACTTTTTCTGGAAAACATAAATTAGGTTTGCTAGTTTTAAGGGTTTTAATATAGACAAATTTTACATACATTTTAAATACAGTAATATCACACCAACAGACGATAGTAAGCTCCTATCGTCTGTTGTTGATGGCAGATTGAATTTGTCACACAAAAACCAGGCCTTCCAAAATGCTTAGTTATTGGTATGTGGGTATGTTGTTTTTACTTGGCTCTCTATCATCCTCTTTCCCATCATGCTCTCTCAAAAGGGAAAAGGCCGCATCCGGCTCTTTGTCTAGCTGGCACAGAGAAGTGGAGCCCCTGGAAAGATCAGGCCTTTACACAGCTCAGAGTTTGGATCCCAGAGTCTATTCATTGAGATGGATCGGACTCGTTCTGTACTCTTACAGTTCTCTTTCCCTGTGATGACGCTACTAAAATATGTACCATGTAACTTCAATCCAATTGCACGGATTAGAAAAGTATGCAAATGTAATAATAACTACTCTTTTCTTGGACTGCCTGTAAGTAGATTGCCTTATTGCTTCATGTGTTTGTTCATTTCAAGCCTGTGCACATTCAGTAACAAAGAAACAAGATAGTACAACACCAAACAAACCCACACACACTCACACACACAGACAGTTAATATTAAAAGTAGTATTAAAAGTAGAAGTTATAATAAACACACTCGCTCCATATCGATCGAGGCACTATGATAAGATGCCGATGGCGAGCTGCAACCTCATTTTATCAGTGGGCGCTGAAAAAAATGTATGGAAATTGTACATATTGTGAACTTGTTTTAGTCCAGGAAGCAATGTTGAATCTATTAAGCCACACACTCATCTTGTCAGTAAGTATGAGATCCATGATGCAGCCGTGTTTATATCTATCTATTGCTAAGTCTCTGAAGAGCTTAAGAGATGTCACAGGAGGAGGATTCGCTGTGGCTTAAGTAAATACACACTACACTCTGCAGTATACAGGCCTATACAAAAAAAAATTATCTAGAAAAGGGATTATGGTCTATTTGTTTCCATTCTGCTTGTATAATTATATAGATGTACATATGCCATTGTGTTCCTCTTTGATTTACAGTAATTGCTGGATTATAATCTACCTTCTTCAAATTCGTTTAGCTCTGCAGCCTATATAGAGGTGTGGCCAATGTATGTTTATTTTGTTAGAGCTCCCCCTGGGGTTTAGTAACTAATTTGACACAGCTCTAGAGTTTCAGAGCTGATGACTTGGTTCACATTCCTGCATCCCGTTGTGTTTATGTGACCAGCAGATAGCAAGAGCAGGGAAATACACAGGACTTGCTTTTATGTGATTAGTGCTATAGTCAGAGCAGAGTTGAGTTTACTGTTTTGACTCCATTGAGTTTAGTAGAAATGTTATCAATCAATC